TTATTTGGATTCATGCAATGAAAAAGTTGAAGGGGACCTGAGAAGTCATGATCTAGCTTGTTGGAGAAAGGCTTGTCTGATGTCTCACCCACAGCTAGAGAAAGATCTGAGCCCCCAGAGTCCATGAATTTTAATTTACCAGGCCAAAGTGCACTGACTTTTTGTTAACATAATCTGGGCTGTTAGAGGAAATATTCATTTATCACCATAGAAAGAACAGTAAGAAAACAAATTTCTGCTTCTATAGCCTGATATATGCTAATACTGACCATGTTTCCTAGTGGAAAATGCTTTTTGAAAAGCATTTTATCCTGAGAGATGTATTAAGTCATAGTGAAAAGCATGACAACCAAAAAGTTTAGTTAATTGTCACCTTTGTGATTTAGCTGACAAAGAAGCAGTTTGTGTTCTACAGATAAATGGCAAACATGGGTTGGGGTATTTACTTTAATTTCAGTACCCAGAAGGAGACACTGGACCCTGGGATAGCAATGAAATATCCATCCTTTTTGTTATTCAAACAACAGAGATAAGCAAAAAGAAAAAATGAAAAATAAAGTACCCAAAATGTCAAAATAGCTACCTCAAATTTTGCTATTAGCATTTTGGTGTGAATCCCTCCAGACTTTCTCCCTGTTTTGGCGTATGAACTTAATAGGGCAGCATGAAAATTTCTCCAAGTAAAAAAATACAACTGTATTTTATTTTTCACAGCTGCATAGCATGGATGTATCTGAGTTTATTTTACCAATAACTTGTGAGAATAGATTTTTAAATGTGATTTCCCGGCATGCCAGGGTAGGACAGATTTTTGTTACACAAAAATTTTCCTGGTATTATTGAATTTTCAAGGCCATAAAAAAATAGGCACAAAATAGTGCAAGGCATAAATTTTTCCTGTATTTTGTCTAATGAACATGTGTTACTTTTATGATTATAAGATACTACAAAAATATTATCAGAGAGAGGCATAGAATGTCTCTACATGAAAGCCATGTAGACATGCAAATCTGAAAACTATCCCCTCGATCATATGACAGTCATAAAAATATTAAAATTTGACCACTACATTTTTTACCACAATCTACAAAGTGGTGTTAAGGTGTTGCTCTGTCTCTGTCAGTTTCTGTGATTGGCAGCAACACACTATTTGAATCCCTGAACCCTAAAGACTTTCCAGTCTTTATGCTTTTTTAATGTCTTTTTAATTTCAAATTTATTGAAGGGAGAATATGTTGATCATAACTACGGATCTCACAGTATTTATTTGCTCTGCTTTCTAAGAGAAATCTCTTTCTACTAGAATGTAAGGAAATTTTTTAAGAGGTAATTAATGGCAGTAAAAGAGCCCATGATGTGTGATTTTTGCCCTCATAGTTCAGACAGTATAAGTCTAATATATTCATGGCAATATTTGTATGAGAACAGTTTTATTACTAGATAATTCTAAAATATTCAGCTGCAATATCTAGATGTGAACTTCTCCATGGCCAGAGTGGTTCACCTTAGTGACATACTTGAATAAAGGAAAAGAACATACTATATTAGTAATTAAATTTAGGCAGCAGGGAGGACTCATAATCAGAGGGCTGTTCCCAAATCTCACACAATTGTGTTACCTTGAATAATATAATGAGGCGTAGGAACTGAAGTTAAGTAAAAAATGATATTATGAATAAAATTCCATCATAGTACCAAGGAAGAACTAAAATACCATTGTTGGATCAAATTAAATTCATTAACATTTTTTATTCTTCCAATAATTTCAACTATTATGTCATTAAAGTATTTCAGCAGCTAAAAATCACGTGGACAATTGCTGAGTCGACTTTCTCCCTTTTTGGAAAGCATGAAACATTTGGCTTTGGAGGTCATCCAAAGTAGCTTCCAATGGGTGAGCAAGTTCAGACAGAGTTTAGGCAGGCATCAGTGTCAGGGGATCCCCTTCAGTGAGTAGAAAGGGCACCAAGACAGCCCAACCTGAGGGCCCCAAGATATAGTGTATTTTACAAAATCTGTCCATTTTCTGCAGGTCATCTGCTTATAAGGAACAGAATCCAGGAAAGAAGTGCTGGGGAGTATTAGGCTTCAATCAAGCATGCTTCAGGGGCCTGGCCTGAAAAGGGGCCGGAAGGAACAAAAAAGGGGGCCAATCAAAGAGACTCTGGCTTCGGGGTTGAGGTACAGGACTGAGCCAGTACTAAGGATAGGGACTGTTCCGTCTGGGGGACTGTTCTGCATTCATGAAGACGCAGAGCTCATCCCCAGCTCTGTTTGGCTGTTGAGATAGAAGCGCTTCCCGCACAAGTGTCCTACGGCCAACATTCTGAGCCCACCCTGTATTTGGAGCCACGTCCCCCCCATCATGTGCATCGGAGCTCCAAGCTGTGCCCACTGATTTTGCAGTCCTCACTTACCTCCACCACAGTGGCCTAGGACATGCTTTTCTGCCTAAGACCAGTTGGAATTCAAGACCAGCCCTCTTAGCTGTGGCCCTGATAACTGTGTAGGCTTTTCCAACCTTTCTTCCCCAGGGACGAGAAGATATTTCCAGGTACTGCCAATTTCTCTAGTCCACAAATGCCTGTCTCGCACTGCTGTGTCTTATCCACTAAATTCAATCCCTTCACACCAGACTAACACAAATAAAGGCTTAATTAAATATATCTCTTTGGTCATTGCTTACTAGATTTTTGGTTTCTTACCTCCATTCGAAAGAAATGACCTCTCTTTATGTCTTGCATATGAAATCTGTACAGATCTTTAAACATATGCACACAACTAAGCATAGCTTGCCATCTGCTGGTGAAACACAATATTATGTTTAAGAGAGTTTGTTTCAATACCTTTGAAGATCTGGATGGTCCTTGTGGCGATAACAGTGTGCCACTTAACATAATTATATTATGAACACTCAGATACTATCAGGCCATGCAAAGCAGCAGATAATAGTATTAAATCTGAAGGAACAGGGAAGGTGAAAGAAGTGAGGAAGGTGAAGATTTTTACTGCACTTCTTCGCACAATCCTAAGAAAGCCAATAATTGATTTACCTTACATTTAAAAAAATGCATTCTGAAGAAAATTTGAGAAATATCCTTAATGACAAATCCCATGTATGTAATTAGATTTTGTATAATTTAACACAATTCACAGGCATGCTTCTCAAATATGGTGTCGGAACACTTGAATATTGAAGTAGGTGAGCTGTTACTAATATTAAACGATCAAAGCTCATGAGTGTCTTAGTATTATTAATATTACAGTTTGGAAATTATATTGGAAACTTAATCACTCAACAATTTCATTCTCACTCGCTGAGATCCAACATGTTCTCCAGAGTGGAATGAAAAGGAGGGTGCCCCAGCTCACATGCTGGGAACCACATACAACCCT